AGAGTATATATTATACAAAACCATCGATCTTATCCGAATAATTCTGAATCAAAAGTTATTTATTATTTTTGTGTATTATTAATTTATATTTGTATGATTATTGGAAAACATTTAGATGAACAAAATACACATACGAGAGAGGTTTCTACAATGAATACTCTAAAACTTATTTTACTGATTCTCGTACATGGGATATACACATCCCAACAATATTTTCTCTCCCAAAAATCTGATGTGAACACATGAATACAATGTAGTGGCTCGTGTAGGTTACTTTTAGCTCTCTTTTTTAGGGACTAATAATGTTAAAATTGGGATTAGAGAGAGTAGAGGTAAGCGAGAAGAGAGGATGGAATAAGTTGATCGGTCTCTTTGTGATAATCTTCCTTCCCACCTCGTCGTCATGGTTACAATTTTTTTTAATGAATCAGAGTCAGCTTCTTCCCCTTCTTGGACACAGTCTCATAAGTCATAATTATCCTTACTGATAAGAGAGAATGGTAAGTTGAAAACATCAGCACCACGGTAACTCAAAGGTCTCAATTTGTAATCCTCTTGCCCTGTTTACAACAAAAGACAAAATTTCAGAACCAAACCCATAGCTAGTACTACTACTACTACAATGTAAGAAGATCCCCAATATTTGACAGTACCTGCGACAGCCCACTATCTAACAACCACATTAGCGCTAAAGTTATCTAAAACAGTGGGTACATAATCTTGTTCCACATAAAGTCACAAGATTCAATGAGATACATGCTTCACAAATCGTCACAACAGTTCAAATTCATTCATAATATGGCCAGAAACTAAATCACATAAAAAAAAACAAATAAAACAAAATGCAGACAGAGAAGACGATTTGCATATATGTGATTCAATCTAAAGTTTGAAAAAGTTGGGAATCGATATATATATACCGTAGGAAGAGTGTTGATGCTGTAAGATATCAGGAAACAAGTTTTACGGACTGCTCCATTGCCAACGGTGACGTACTTTCACTTCCGCTTCTTTCTCCTCCACCAAGAATTCAAACATTGATCACACAAAAAAAATTCAAAAAACAGCAACCTCAGATCTACAAAGCCTTTCAATCGAAACCCAAAACTGAAACTAAAATACCTTTGAGTGAAAGTTCACTGAGCTCTTCCGGCAAAATAGAAAAATAATCGATGCATTATTACCAAATTATCTAAAATTAAAACTTTAAATCTGTGCAAATAACGAAAATCCAAACACAATTTCACCTTATATGTCAAATTCGACCACCACAGTTCAATTTGCACAAATAAAATTGACGACAATTAAGAAGAGAGAGAGAGATTGAGAGTGGGAGAACAAGACAGAGGCAAAAGAAAAACACAGAGTTTGAAAGGGAAAATAACTGAGATTAATGGAGGATCAACACGGCGAGAGAGAGATTGAGCGGCTGAGTGAAAGAAAGGATCGCGATTTTCTCGAGTGATGGTTCAATCGTACCCGTTCTTTGTTGACTAAAAAAGATTGTTAAAAAGTATGACATGTTCTTTTTGCAAAACACATGTATGCTACTTAAATTAAATATATGATTGTAATATGAGTTTTATTAAAGTTCTTCTTTTTGTTGTTGTTGTTGTTGTCGTTTAGAGAATGATGACTCTGGGAATTTTAGAACTTTTTGAAAGATCGGTGGGTTTTTAGATCTAGCAATATATCATCAATTTAAGAGTATAATTCAAGTTTTTTTTTTTTCGTGGCTCTAGGACCAACTGTCTGTGAAGGAGAGCAAGTCTTTGGAAGTTGTTTACATATTTGCTTCATTCAATGACACTTCATTGTAAGTGACTTTTATGTGAATCTAGTGTGTCTATGATTATTAAAATCATTCAACATATGAAAATATGAAGTTTGTCTACAGTTTTTTGTGAATCTAGTGTGATTTTGTTTACTGCTCCAATACCTAATTATAGATGGGTTAAACTAAAATAAATGTACAAAAGATACTTTTTCCATATTTTTCTTTCTATGGTGTTTTGTGTAAAGACTTTTTCCATATTGTACTTTGCTTTGGATTACGTGTTCTCTGCTTTGCTTTCTTTTTCCTTATGAGCCTTTGTTAAATTAATGATATATCTTTTATCTTTTTGGAGTTAAGAGGAGATTGATTTTTTTTTTATTTTTATGTTTACTGGTTATAATTCTTTTGAGTTAAGATTGTTTTTTCTTTTAGTTACATTGTATTTGTACATCTACTTAAGTCGTTACTTAGAGCATCTCCAAATGTGGGCACCCTTGAAAGGTGCTTATCATTTTTCTATTATTAATTTTTGAAAAGTTTAAGATTAAAAACTAGATCTTTAAAATTGAAAATTTGTGTCTCCATTGGTGGAATTGTTGATAGAGTGCTTAACAACAACAAAAAGAAAAAAGAGAGAGAGATCGAGAGTCTCGACATAAGAGAGAAAGAGGAGAGAATGAAAAAATTAAGGAAAAAATGTTTTTTTACACCCATTCAAAAATTGACACATATGCAATACTTATGAGATGCTTAAGTGCACAATATAAGCCATGATATTTAACTCTTTTTTCTTATTTTGATTTAATTTTTTTATTTAAGGATAAGTAACTCATTGAGCACTCATTAAATACGTCCATTGGAGATGGTCTTAGGACTAAACAAAAGAAATATTAACCACACCAATATTTTCCTAATCCCAAAGGGGTACTACTAAAATCTATTGCTCTAGTTATTCCTACATATTTAATAAATCTGTTTCGTCTACCAAATGGAATTCTTGAGGAGATAAATTGCATTATTACCCGATATTCGAGACCTATAACATTTCAAGACTGCTTTGCTTAGTAAACAAGCCTGGAGAATTCTAAGAAATCCCACCTGTTCGCGTATTGTTGGGTTAAGACATTATCTCAATGCATAGAACAATAGAACATGGAGTTTGTTGAGTACTTGATGATAACTCTTTATTGCCTTATATGTGGGAGTTATTTGTTGATTGATAACATGTATATTAAACCAAAAAAGAAGTAGAAGAAAGCGGAAGGATAAATGAATACATGAGAGTGAAAAGCTTTTGTATATAATAATTGATTGTGTTAGCTTTTAATGGTATGTTTGTTGTAAATTTTGACACATGTGTTCCTTGTTAAGATATTAAAATTTTGACACATGTGTTCCTATATTTCAAAGCCCGGCCCGACCCTAACAGGGCTACAAGGCTTTTTCGAGCTTTTTCGGGCTTTTCTTGAAAATAAAACTGACTTCAAATTTTATATATTTTATTGAAAATGATTGAAACAATTCAATTTAAATATAAGTAACCACTAATATTTATTTAAACTCACTTTATTTTAAAAGAATAAAGTTTTTTTATTGGTGAAATTAAAAAAAATGTTTCAAAAGTAAACAAATCCAAACAAAAGAGTTTAAACTCATACCAAATAAAACACAAATCAAAAAGACTTCAAATTAGGTATTAGAGTCATGATTTGGCTCTCCTTCAATGCCTTCAGAATTCTCCTCCCCTTCCGTGTCTTCTAAATCTTTCTCATCATTAAGAGCTATATACAAACATTTAACTTATGTTTATAATGAATTTTGACATGTATAAATCAATAAAATATCATATATAGTTTGTTAAAATAAAAATAAATAAATAATTACAAATGACATTTATTACCTGGATCATCATACGTAAATCCATCCAACCAAGTCCGTGTACAAACCAGTGCTTCAACGTGTCTTGGTAGAAGACGACTTCTATATTTATTCAAGACATGCGCACCAATACTAAATGAAGACTCTGCTGCCACCGAAGTTATAGGAATACTCAAAACATCACAAGCCATACGAGCTAGCTCCCCATAACGTTGTGTTTGATTCTTCCACCATTCTAAAACATCCATGTCTTCATAAAAGGTCATTTCCAACCTATCGTCTTCTAAATACACAGCCAATTTAGACTTTCCTTCTTCTAGAATAGTACGTTTCTCATATGCTTTGAAATTCTATTATTAACAAACCAAAATAAATAAAACTCTAGTAATCAAATGGTTAAACTCTAGTAATCAAATGGTTAAATTAAAACCAAATATTTAGAGATCGAATAATCATCATCGTTCTTAATGAATAATATTTTTGATTAAACAAATAATTTAACTTAGAAAGATGTGCTAGAAGTACTAACCTCTTAAATACGATGAAGTTAAGAAGCATAAGCTGCAAAGAAACTTATAACTCTTGGTTTTATAGTTGGAAGGTTAGGGTTAGGCAGTTAGGGTTAGGATTTTTAATTATGTTTAATTTTTTTTTGAAAAATTTAAATTAAATATTAATTAAAAATTATATTTTTAGGGTTCTTCGGGCCGGCCCGAGCCCGATCGGGCTAAGCCCAAAAAAACCCTGTGTCCAAACGGGCATAGCCCGAAAGGCCCGATATTTTTTGGACATTTATATTAAAGCCCGAGCCCGATACTTTTAAGGGTCGGGCTGGGCTAGCCCGCGGGCTTTGGCCCTAATTGACATGCCTAATCATATCTCATTTATCTATAGCACATGGATGCACTGGTTTCCAAAACGTTTTGAAAACATGTGTCCCATGAGCATGAATTAATCATGCTCTAATTCCACTCTTATAACATCCCCGACCGCCCTAAAACTAAGGACGAATCAGAAACGTAATGTGCGATGCCCATAAATGATCCAACCGAGGTTACTAAAAAAAACGTCAGTACCTTGGTCAGTCCATCTAGGGGTATCTTCAAACATCACACTCATTAAGGTTGAGTTCATACCAAACACCTTAAATGGTATCCTAGTAAGTGAAACCTACGATCTTGTTCGATATTGGAATAATGTAATAATTAATCGTAGCTTCAAAGACTTTGTTTTAAATGATTATATTTCAAGTATAATGCACTTGATTTTATTCTTAAGTGTCAAGAAAGATACAGGTACCATAGAAGAGTATTATGATGAACGAGAGACCACATCCCAAAGGATAATGAATGTGGAGCAAACGGAGACACTAGCAAAGAGTGATCACATGCATCCAGTTCAAGAGCTTAAGATGTGTTTACCAGCTAATAAAGATGATGAAGTTAGCACCAACAACATCTTGCTGCAAGAAGAATCACCGGACCAGTCATTGAATCAACCAACCGTGGTTATTTCGAAAGATATATTCAACAAAGATCTATGTCAAGTAAGTCCCACGTTACTTCGAGTTGTTTCTAATAATTTGAATGATGTGATAATAATGTTGTTAAGGTCTAGAAAGTTTGAGAGAAACGTTGGTTATTTAAATAAACATGTAGAATCAATTTCTTGTTTTAAATCATATCGATTAGTTGATACACTTTGTGCCATACTTATTGATAAACTTTATAAAAGAGGAATGGTTCAACTCGTCCTTGTTTTACATGTTTATATTGTTCCCATGACTGTATTAATGCACTTGTTCTTTGCCAAAAGTGTCAACAACATTGCAGGTACGAATGAGGATCATAAAGGCGATTCACCGGAGATGAAGAAACGCTTGAATCAAAATCGGAACCGGAGTAAACCAGCGCCATTGGTGGTCACACCTTCCCTAATGGAGACTAGGAGAGTCCCAAGTTCATTCTTTATTAAAGAGGAACTGCCAGATTTCAAAACTCAAGCACATACCCAAGAAGGAGCTAACCACGTTACACCATCAACCGTTGTACTAGATCAAAACCGAGGAGTGATCTTTACTTTCTTGCCCAAAGGAGAGCCACCGGATGCACCATGCATCATGAAGACAGAACAACACCAAGGTAAGACATTGAAATCTCAAAATCGCATGAAAGCTAACTTGATTTCTCTTGGTGCAGATTGTACAGTTTCGAGGTCGAAACTTTTTCAAGAGAGAGGGTATGATGCGGACATCAGAACTAGATCAGACCAAGAGCACACCAAACCGGTCTACATGGAGAATTTTGGAGAATCTTTGTCTAAGTGGAGTTCTGATCAAGTACAAGGTGAAGGGTTAATTATTCACCATGATATTAACCCTAAGAATTCCGACAGTTCAAGAGGGATCAAAAATCAGCAAGTCAAATCACCTTACTATTGGGATATGACTGTTGCACTCTTTTTTCCTTATCTAGGGTTTGTCCCAATGGGTTTTCCTAAAAAGGTTTTTAATGAGGCAATATCAAGTCATCAAGGAATCATTCACCATCCATATGATTCAAAGATGATAGCTGATGTACATTCTGATCTACTCGCGGACAAGCATGCTGAACTACTCGCTGACAAGCATGCTGAACTACTCGCTGACCGACTGTCTGAACTACTCGCTGACCGACTGGCTGAACTACATCAGATTGCGAGCTGTGAGGATTTCAAGTCTTTTAACACTTGGATCATCTATGAAGGGAGTCCACACACTCATTTAAATCACCACAAGGCCCCAGCCCATGTAGAACAGCCCAAGAGAAGACCCAAGTCCAAACCACCATTTGAATCAAGGCCATTGATCTACTTGGAGCATGCTAAGGAAACTCTCCTAAACCTTCATGAGGTCGTGTTCCAAAGCTGCATATGGAAACTAGGAGAACTTGTAGGCCGCACAAGACTTGTCCCACACGATCTTTGGTACACCTTACCACACAAGAAGCCGATGAGTCACTACTTGCCATACATGGAGCAAAAGGAGATCAAGCTGCAAAGACTCCTTCCTTATTCACTTATGCACGTGTTGAAGCTTTCTAAAATGAATCTAGACACTCCAGGAGTCATGGATTCGCACCCAAGCTTTCAAGACTCAAGGCATCTCTCTACTTGCCTTATTTTTGCCGATTTGGTTTATAAAGTCCCAACGGCAAGTGTAATTAATTTTGAGCGATTTATTTCTTATTTTACATTATTAGGACGTGTAGCTGAGCCTATATAAGCTCATTAGATTGTTCATTTGTAATCACCCTTGATCAATTTAAAGTAAAAGAAATTTTTATTTTTGTCAAAGTTTGAGTCTTTGTCATTGTTCTTCATTAGTCTTAAGTGAACGAGTCTCTTAAGTCTATTGGAATCTGCGGATTAAGTTTGTTGAGTGATTCAACATCCTTTATTCGTCCATTGATCGAGTGAGTCGATTATCCCACCGATTGAGCGAGTCAATCACCTGAACTATCCCCTGAACCACCCACTGATTCACGAGAGAGTGCTTCTGGCCAGCTCGTGAATTCCACCTTGCGTAAGCTAAGTTTGGAATCTCTTGATCATCAAGTGATCTAAAGTTTGGAGTGATTCCAATCTTGTATCACAAGTGTTTATAGGAGAGACAAGTATTAAGTTGCATGTCATGTTTGGTTCATTAATGGACAAGTGTTAAGACACATGTCACTCTTATGTTAAGAAAACCATGCAAAAGAACACTTGTTAAGTTGCATGTCATGTTTGGTTCATAAATGGACAAGTGTTAAGACACATATCACTCTTATGTTAAGAGAACCATGCAAAAGAACACATGTCCTCACACTTGCCACCATTGCCTTAATCTCTACTTTGATGGATGGTTGAGATTAAATTGGAAAGCAAAACCCTAATGAGGAATGAGGTCCTCTCCCCACCTATAAATAGATGACTTGCTCCATCAAAAATCATCATGAACAAAAACAACACTTAAAGGAAAGGGTTTATAGGAGAGGGGAGAGAAACTTTATTTTCCACTTAAAAGATTTAAGAGTTTCTTTTTAAAGCTACAAACCATTGATTAAGAAAGCTTCAAAGGAAAACTAAAGAAGGCTTCAAGGAACCATTAAAGAAAGTATCATTTATACAATGAGTGGAGGTATTACTTTAACCCTCTTTATGTTTCTATTATGTGATTAATATAGATGTTTAAGATCTTAGGGTTCATGTTAAAGTATATTTAACATGTGGTATCAGAGCTTATGGTTATGAACATCTAATTAATCCATTAAGAATAATAGATCTATTGTTTAAAGAACTTAAAATTAGAAACGCAAGTTATGATGTTTGTAGACTTGCATTTGTTTAACTTTCTGTTTTCAAAAGAATTTTTTTAAAGTGATAAGAAATTGGTTTCTTTTAATGTGCATAATTAAGAAATTGATATCACCATAATAGGTTTTATCATATAATGATTTGCACATAAAACCCCAATATTTTAAAAGAAATTTTGATATGTTTATGTATTAATTAGCTACCCACAGGTAGGCTATTTTCATAAAACATTATCAAAAATTTATTAGAATGTTTGTATGTGAGTTAATTAAGTATATCCACAGATAGCTTAATTAATTTGATACATCATTTAAGAAAAAAATTCGAAAGCTATGACCTTATGAAATATTATAGTGACTACCCACATGAGCATTATAATTTATAGTCATATGCTTTCAATAATTTTAGTTAATGTGTTGTTTAACTTTGAACCTCAATTAAAAGCTTGTTATATCTCTAAATCGCAGCATCATTTCCTGCTAATTTGTCATCTATGGTCTCCACTGTTCCAATCCTCACTGGAACCAAATTCTCAGAATGGAAAGAGAAAGTTGAGTTCACATTAGAAGTACTAGATATGGATATGGCACTTCGTGAAGAAAAGCCAGATCCCTTAACTATAATTAGTAATGAGGAAGAAAAGGCTCTCCATAAAGCTTGGGAGAAAGCGAACAGATTGAGCATGATGTTTTTAAGAATGACAATAGCTAGCAATGTTAAACTTCCCTTCCGGATGTAGAAAAAGCTAAAGCTTATCTAACAGCTATAGAAGAACGGTTTAAGACTGCAGACAAATCCCTTGCAGGGAAACTTATGGCAGATCTTACAACCATAAAGTATGATGGGACAAGGTCTATGCATGAACATTGCATTGAAATGACCAACCTTGCGGCCAAATTAAAGATTTTAGGAATGAGTGTGGACGATTCATTTTTTGTCCAATTTATCCTAAATTCACTACCTCCTCAGTATGGACCATTTCAAATCAGTTATAATGCAATTGATGAAAGATGGACATCTAATGAATTGACTAATAAATTAGTCCAAGAGGAGGCTAGACTTGGTCGTAAAGGCATTAAAGTTGCCCATTATGACCAAGGAGCTGGACTTGAAGTTGGGAAAAGGCATAAAAAGAGCCATCAAAGAGCATCACCCACAATAAACGATTACGATCAAGCTAATTCGAAGAAAAAGGCAAAGAAAAATTACAGATGCAACTTTTGTAAAAAGGTTGGACACTTTCAGAAAGATTGCACTAAAAGAAGAGAATGGTTCGAAAAGAAAGGTAATCCTATGGGTTCCGTAAGCTTTTTCGAATCTAATCTTACTCATGTTTCTTCTAAAGCTTGGTGGATTGATAGTGGTGCTAATGTACATGTAACGAATTCTGTACAGGGATTCCTTACGATCCAGACCATAAAACCAAGTGAAAACTACTTACTGATGGGAAATTGAGATAAGGCACCAGTTGAAGCTATTGGCACCTATCGTCTCATTTTAGATGGTGGATTTTGTCTAGATTTATATCAGACTCTTTATGTTCCATCTATTTCCCGTAATTTAGTTTCTGTAAGCAAACTTGATTTGGCTGGTTTTAAATCTACTCAAAGAGATGGTTGTTATAATATATTCTTGAACTCTAATCGAATTGGTTCTGGAATATTAGTTGATGGTATCTATATGTTAAAATTGGCTGATCAACCTTATGAGACACATCTCTCCTTGCATACTGAAAGTAGACTTAAAAATAAAACATGTACTAATAACTCATATTTCTTGTGGCATAAAAGATTAGGACATATTTCCTATGAAAGAATTAAAAGATTGGTAAAAGATGGAGTCATTCCGAATCTTGACTTTACCAATATAAAAGAGTGTATAGATTGCATTAAGGGCAAACAAACTAAACACACTAAGAAAGGAGCCACAAGAAGTACACAGCTTCTTGAAATCATACATACAAATATTTGCAGACCATTTGATGTTCCAACTTTTGGAGGTGAAAAATATTTTATTACCTTTATCGATGATTATTCACGCTATTGTTATCTATATTTATTGCATGAAAATTCTCAATATGTGGATGCTGTAAAAGCATTCATTACTGAAGTTGAGAGGCAATTAGATAGAAAAGTGAAAATCATAAAGTCAGATAGAGGTGGTGAATTTTATGGCAAATATGATGAAACAGGACAACATCCTGGACCATTTGCCATACTTCTCCAAAAATTAGGAATCGTTGCGCAGTACACAACGCCTGGTTCTCCATGGCAGAATGGTGTAGCTGAAAGGCGTAATCGTACTTATATGGAAATGGTTAGATCCATGATGAGTCATGCTAACCTACCTATATCCTTGTGGATGGACGCATTACGTACCGCGGTCTATATCTTAAATCGGGTTCCCAGCAAAGCAGTTCCTAAGACCCCTTTTGAATTGTGGAAAGGCTGGAAACCTAGTCTGTCACATCTCCAAGTTTGGGGATGTCCAGCTGAAGTAAGAATATACAATCCACATGAAAAGAAATTAGATTTCAGAACAATAAGTGGTTTCTTTATAGGTTACCCTGATAAGTCTAAAGGATATAGATTTTATTGTCCGTCCCATAGTACGAGAATAGTAGAAACCAATAATGCCAGATTCTTTGAAAATGGTGAGATTAGTGGGAGTGATAAAGTTCGTGATATAACCATTCAGGAAATTAGGGTTAATATTTTTTTACCCTTAGTCCCGAATGTTGGGGATCCTAACATTGTTGAACCGTTAAACAATGAGGAAAACCCATTAAATGATCACACACTCCATGATGAAAATTTCGCTAATAATGATCATGAAGCACAAGAGCAACCATCATTACGAAGATCAACTCGTACGAGAAGATCTGCAATTTCTGATGACTTTGTGCTTTATCAAGTAGATTATGCTGAAGGAAATATTAAAGATCCGGTTTCTTATTCACAAGCCATGAAAGATGTTAATTCTGATAAATGGATTGATGCTAGTAGGGATAAAATAGACTCGATGGTTAAGAATGAAGTTTGGGACATCGTTCCATTGCCTGATGGACACAAAGCAGTCGGGTGTAAGTGGATCTTTAAGACCAAACTCGATTGTAATGGCAATGTAGAACGATATAAAGCCAGACTTGTAGCCAAAGGGTTTAATCAAAAAGAAGGCATCAATTATAGTGAGACTTTTTCACCTGTGTCAAGAAAAGACTCTCTCAGAATTATCATGGCATTAGTAGCTTAGTATGATCTCGAGTTACATCCAATGGATGTGAAAACTGCCTTTCTTAATGGAGACTTACAAGAAGAAGTCTATATGCGTCAACCTGAAGGCTTCATAATCGAAGGTCAAGAAGATATGGTTTGCAAATTGAAGAAATCAATATATAGGCTGAAACAAGCTTCTAGGCAATGGTATTTAAAATTTGATGAAACCATTACGAAATTCGGTTTCTAAGAAAATATTGTGGATCCATGTATATACCTCAAGATCAGTGGGAGTAAGTTCATATTTTTGGTATTGTATGTTGATGACATCTTGTTAGCCACTAATGATCTTGGTCTATTACATGAGACTAAGAGTTATCTTTCTAAGAACTTTGATATGAAAAATATGGGTGAGGCATCCTATGTGATAGGAATTGAAATATTCCGTGATAGATCACTAGGAATTTTAGGATTGTCTCAGAAGGCATATATTGACAAAGTTCTTGAGAGATATAGCATGATGATGTGTTC